ATTTACGGCCTCGCCACTATTGTGGTGTGGTGAATTCGTAATTCGGTTCGGCCAACGCCGTCTTTGGACTATATATAGTATATTCGTTATAACTTATAACATCCTTGGTCCCTCGGTCTGGTTCACACGCTTGTAAACTCATAATTTCACAATGGTTTACATACTTTAAGTTAACGTTAAGTATACTATTTCAATAACTAACAATTTTAAAAAAGAAATGCATATTTCTGTGACCCTCCTTAAACGAAAATGAATGCAATAGTGGTAATGAAGTGAAATGTGTAAATAAATTATAATACCTAATTGTATATTGATATATAAACCTGAACCTCACTATCCTTGACAACCATGCACATTTAATCGTATGAATTATAGACTAAAAAACTGAGTGGTATATATTTTGGTTTTCATATATTATTGTAATTTGTATAATTTCGTTTTGTAAAAATGCTATTTTGCTATTTTAATATAATTATATAGGTATACGTTCAAATAATATTTTCAACTTGAGTTCTCTGTTACTTATAAGCCTACTACTTATACTTTCTTGATTAAAACCATATAATTTCAAATTATAATATTCGAACAAACGGCTAGTATTGTGAATTTAAACAAAATCTAGGCTGGTGATAAATTTAGATCATTATTAAAAATAGAAAAACTAGTTATAGTTGTTAAATACGTATAGGTATATAGCCTATAGGCAAAAACAATTTACATTAAAACGTATCAATTTGTATGCGGTGCCGCAGTGGATCACTTTGAGTACTTATTCAAGTGCAACGTGTCCTCGATCTAGAAATATAGTTTTATTATAATAATTATAATAAAAAAAATAGTATAAGTATGTATAATGGCCACTTTATACGATATCGTGTATTGTCCGGAGATTGGTTTACCTTTCGCTTTTCAGTCCTTGGTTTTGGCTATGTACCGAGGAGATGACAGGTCACGTAAGACCGCATTTAGGGGGACATATATTATACGTGTACGTGTATTTGGATGTCCGTTCAAATGGCTGCAGCCAGCCCATAAATGGACGGGACAACGTCACCGTTTAAAGCTTTGAAAATCGAAAAGCTGTATAACACGTGCTACATTAATCATTATTTAAAACAAGTATGGTGTATGGCCGTTGCGTATTATTAAATATTATTATAGTCAATTATAATGCACACTTATACGGATAAATACGTGGTTACATTTTGAAAAATTTATACATTTTTTTAGTATTAAAACCAAGTCTTAAGCGGGAAAAAAATGTATTTTTATAACAAACATTGATAACAAATCTCGATAGAAAACCGGTCAAGGAACATAATAATCAATTTTTGTCCGATATACCTATTAATAGAGAACCATTCACTTTGCGGTGAGTTGCTAGCATTGATAATAAAATCTCGGAAGATATTATATTTATTTTGGTGTCCGTTGCGATGTAGTTTGCACCTCTCTGTCACACGCACACACACACACATACACATACTAGCAATATTTTTCTATTGGACTATAGAAGACAATAATAAAGAGCCAACTAAAATATTACTCATAAATCGCATTACTGTCGTTATAACAATATTACAACAGTCGACAACACATAATAAAGTATTACATAGTATGGCGGATTGGTGGGCGAGATGGTTGTCTCTCTCCGCTTGCACCAGCCTTTATATTATATACACAGACGTATAATATATAATATAATAGTAATAATAATAATACTGCCGTGCAGTGTGGTTCAATGGCCGGTCTGTGCCATTGAAAAGAGGAGTATATAGTTGCACTAGCAATCATGAGATAGAACTGCGCAAAAACGTCAGAGCCCATTGATTCCCACTCGGCTTGTCTTCTTGTTATTATTATTATTATTATTATTATTATTATTATATATATAAATACTGTATTATTGTGTGGACCAGTTATCTATATTTTTTTCACTTGGCTTATTTTTTCCACGTTTTGTTTGGCCGTCTGCTGTGTGATCGTAATCGACAACGTTGCATATTCATTTGCCCGATCAAAGTCAACCGGAAACCGTCAAATCAAACCCACTTTGGGGTTGGTTCGTCAATAAATTAAATTACATTTTTGAAAATCCCGTGTCACGCTTGTTTTTCAAGTTTTCCCACGGGTATGACTAACCGACATAAAAAATTGTTAAATCACATGTAGATCATCCTATAGACCACCTAATTGAACAATCTTACGAATTGAGTTTCTTTTAATTTATTTTTGAGTCGTTTAAAGTAGGTAAGATATGCTTATATTATACTATATTTCATGCATTTTTTGACTATGATTTTGCCTTCTTAGACTAATAAATACCCAGGAAAATAAGTGGAAAATAATCCATTCTTAAAGTATGTACAACCTAACCTAATTCGAATGCCTAGGTAAATATGAATAAAAAATAAAAATATTAGTTTACCATTACAAAAAACTATGTAGTCTTATGCTAATTAATTTAAACTTTCTGGACAACTCAAGATAAAAGTCACAATAATTGATATCTTATTAGATTTCGTGAAGTTTGGTGGAATGAAACAACTATTGTTGGTGCAGTATGGTGCCATGCATTTGTTTTTTTATTTGGGTTATACGTCGGAATGTCAGGATTTGACGAAGGGATGATTATGTGGACATAATTATTGTTACATATAATAAAGAGGATAGTTATTACTGCTCTTTCTAATGTTGTACAACATTGAACCAAATTAATTTGAACAACGCTAAAGAAAAAAGCAAATATTTTATCATATTTTTAAAGGCGCACTAATAAGTAAACCTGCAATACGGAATCTAAAAAAAACTACCGAAGTGTAAATATTATATTATTTAAGTATATATATATATTAATTTAAACAAAAACCTTAATATATGGTCGCACGTTTATATTGGAGTAAAATAAAATATAAATTAGGTCTGAATAAAATCAAAAAAACATGTATCGAACAGAAAGCTATTTGGTATTTTATGTTGGGGGTTGTATATTTGGTGTGGTCGTTTGGGTGAAGGTACTAATTTTGACTTAAAAATTAATAGTCTGTTTGGGCAACTATCATTTATACCGTTTGCGCCAGTGAAATTCTTTTTACCAGTGCATAAAATAAAAAACCTGGTGATTTTGATGCAAACGTTTTAAAATATAGTATTCATTATTAATTATTTCAAATAATGTATGGTTACTCTATATGATTTTGTTTTATTAATTTAAAAATGTTTATTCATGTTGACTGAATATTAAAATATTATTAATATCTGTAAGGATATAATTAACTCTTATTAAGAGTTCATTATTAATTACAATGTATTATGTATTTTGGCTTTATTTTTCATTTAGCGATGTACCTACATTGCTATATGATATTACGATATATAAAGTTATATTACATGACCCAACTAATTGGATAAATATTTTTACTTAAACAAAATGAAAGAATTGAATATATTTTACCATTGAGTATTAATTTATTTAGTGTAGTTTTAATTTATACTCAATTCTAATATACATATATGTGGTATTTAATTATTAATTATTACTTTATAATATTATTTATAACTTAATTTTATACCTACATAATCATAATCATTAAAATGTAGGTATAACATAGAAATAAACCATCTATTTTCGATTTTGAGCCAAGTGATGAAAATGTGAAATTATTTTATTTTTATTGCAACACGAGATGTATCCAAAGCGATGTAATATAATAAATTCATACAAAATATAATATGTATATATTTTTATATGTAATATTTGCTATTCTCATCGATCTATGTACTGGTTGTTTTTTTTAAAAATGGGTGTTGAAAATAGGTAAAGAAAACAAGTGCATGTGGTGGGCATTAAAAGTTAATTTGTGTTAATTGTTCAGGAGAATTAATAATACCATCAATAATAAGACGTCTCAGAAAAGTTAAATTAGTTTATTCAAGCCTTCTATCAACTAACGTATTAAGGCCAAAACTATGCATAACTAGAGAGCTATTGATTTTACAGTTAAGTTTTTTTTTTGTCTTTCGTCACGTTTTGAGGCACTAAAAATGCTTCGATTATAATTTTTTTTGATTGGTCATTAGTAGAAAATTGAATCTAATTGGTTCTTTGAGAGGGAAGCGGGTAAAAAGAAAAAAATTCCCAGTAATCGTCGATAATTACTTTCATAAAATGTTTATATTATTAGCAATTTCTACTCACGATAACATTTTCAAAATATGTTGACTCTTCGTGAGCTGTAAATCATGTAGACATTTTACATTTTAAATCGTTTAGTTTGTTTCTAAAGATTAGGTTAGATTTTCAATAAAACATTTTTCACTATATCAAAAAACTTGAAAATTAAATACAAGGATCCTGAGTACCCACTTACAAATACAGATTTAAATTAAGTGACTCTTAATTTATTCCTATGTACAATGTACATATAGACATTAGACATATAGTACTTATTTTACCTATATAATATATAGTAATAATTAAAACTAGCAACTACCTTTCTGTATAAGTATAAAAATGGATTAGTGTTATTACTGGACATATTTTGTTTCCAAAAACCACATTTCTCTTATTATAGTCTTTTATTTTTAAAAACTTGTGCTCTATAGTATTAGATTTATAATTTATATTAAATCAATGGAAGTCGTATGAATACATAGAATTATATTTTAACTACAAACACATGCGTGAATGCCATATATGTATTGCTTAGTTCAAGCATTAATGTCATTATGTTACAGAACATCCCCTCTCCTATCAAATAAGCCTATATAGTTAGTAACAATAAATACAAAATTAACTTAGTTATTAACATTACTTATTAATATCATGTATGATGTTACTTGAGAATATTTGTATACAAATATTGAAAACAAATTGGGTTTTGCAGTCACACTATTAGAATTTGAAAGTATGCATAATAATATGTAACCAAAATATTATTGTACACTCCAATCTCACTCAATTTTTTTTCCTAACTGTGTTTTTTTTTTTATTGTTCTAGTTCGACACCTACGTAAAGTCACTGAATATCGAACCTCAAACGCCTATGTTTCGAATAGTAACAGATGGACAGCTTCCAATCCGTCAGTGTCTGCACCGGGAATCATCCATTAAAGACATTGAACTGCCCGAGTACTATAACGTATTTCACGACCTACGGAAAGACTTCTCCAAATTCTACAATGCACCTCAAGACCAAACGTTTAACTCAATTACAGATCTGGTTAATTGTATCCTTTTTATATTATGTAAAAAAAACAAACAAAAACTTTAACAAATTCTTCTAGTTTACTACCGGTAAGTCGTTACAGCCAGTGACGGTGTGTACACAATGTTTAGATAGCGTATTTAAGAAACGAGTTATACTTGTTTTAGTAGGCCTAAATTGGCTAGCCACATATTTTTATAAATCGTCAAAAACAGGACTTTTTTTTTTCTAGAAGTCTGATGATTACCTACTAAAGTCTGGTATTTCCGAGTTTTTTTTTAAATAAACCTACTTATTAATAATTTAACATGACTTCTAAATAATGTAACTAATTATTATAAAATAGTACTGGAAAATAAATTCAAGTTTACCTAATCATGATCTTGTCAACAAGAAAATAAAACACCTATTCCTATATAGTATGTACATTTATTAAACATTAATTTTCAAGGATATTTTATGTTTAATTTATTCTACTTTTTTAATGTGACTCAAAAAATTAATGATAACATTTTTGTTGATTGTGAAAGTACCTACTGTACTAATACTAATTGCTGACTGATTTTTTTTTTTATCGTTGAACGGCGTCAATGCGGCAACACTTATTACACCTTTTATCTTAGTTTAATTCATAAACATTTCCATTTGCAAGTCTAATCTACTTACTATTTTGTACTCCATATATTTTATAATTACTAAAGTGTCAACTATTATTACATTGGGGTTAAACTTCTAGTATTTTTATACTTTCGACAATTTTTACGTATTTTAACTTTTGGCTTGATGGAAATATTTTATGTTGTATGGAGCACCTGGATAGACAATATATATACATGACTGTGTATTACTAAGGGGCTAACAGATTTTTTCATCAACTGTTTGCCTTGCTTATATTATTCTCACTGACCATACAAAGAACTATTTGAATAGTTTTTTTTTTTTTTTAATTTTTTATCTCTATAATCCTTATAACTGTTGAGATATTATTATAAGCACATGTGGATATTATAAGTCATACCAGTTATCAATTAATTACGCATTTTTATCTCGTCTCTCGTTTTAAAATAAATAAATAATTAAAGAATATAATATTAATATCTTACATTTACTAATTTACATAATATATAATACTGATAAATCTATCATTCTTTGTTTTCACATTCTCATTTAATTATTATTTTGATTATTGTTATATATTTAAAGGTATTAATAGAAAAAAATAGTTTTTTCATTGATTAAAATTATTTATACATATTTATAGATACCCATAAATATATTATTGATAATTATCATTCCATTGTTTTAACTTATTTTTCAAAAATAAATAACATACAGCAAATACTGCTGAATAATATTATTGCATAATGCATCATTGTTTATGACAATTTGACCTCATATTTATATTTGATTAATAATTTAATTCATATTAAATTGAACTATTAAACACTTATGTACCACAAATATGAATGTTCCATTTATTTAACTTTCCATTTTGAAAACAAAAATACAAAATAAGGTTACGTCGTCATTACCTACCTATACTATATAGTATATACCATCACATCCGACATTTCCTCTCAGCCCTTCATCTGATTATTGGAAGCAATGTAATAATTATGAACCGTGCGCCAGCTAACTGATGATAATTTCTGTGTTACTTTGTTTTATTATAAAACAGTGTTCGACCATTCACAAATATATACAATAGTTGAAACTATATGTTAATATATTTAGAATTTTTAAATCCTAAAAACCTAACCTTGAATCGATCATAAACGATCGTTTCAGTGGTCAACTCTTAAATTATTTACTCATGTGCTCTGCTCATACATCAAAATATCTCCATAAAAATGATATAAAAAACGGAAAAAGTTGTCAGATAAAATATTAATATTTTTTCTAACTGCTTTCAATTTTTTTCAGGGCCATCTTTTTCCAAATGTTTGTTAACTTACCGGTATCAATGAATTAATAAAAATAAGATTAGATTATGCTATTAACGAATATTGCAATGTAAGGGTGACCAACAAAAGTTTCAACCATTCATGACTATAAAAATGAATATTTTAATGAAAAAACATTCATTGTTCAACTCTAGTTTTGTTCAATACTTAACTATTTTATTCGATTTAAATGGAAAAAACAATTGTTTAAACCTTCTGTTTTAAAAACTACAATTGTATTAATTGTTATTAAGTCATTTATAAGAATTACGATTTTCATATTCGACTTAATATAGGAAAAATAAATCTGTGAATCTTTTTTAAAAAAATTGCAATTATTTCAATTTCTATTCACATGAATAATTATGATGTAAATTAAACTCTTAGGTATCATTCCAAATCATACCGGATTAAACTGGATATAGAAAAATCCAAAGCTAAAATATTTTTTATGATTTATATAATATGACAATGAACATCATTTAAAAATTCGTCGATTCATGAACGTGTATTATGTATTTAAAACATGCATTTTATATTAACTTCAGTTAAACACTATTATTTTTAGAGTTTAACACTAAAATATAGTAAATATAGTTTATTATAGTTTATAATTTATATTCAATATGTGTTGATGAAAACTCGTTTTAAAATGTGTCGATAAAGAACTATGTTAATTAAACCGTATCTCTTTTAAAAAGATTATAACGAATTAATTTGATATTTTTCAAATTTTTGTTTTTATATATTTAACTGCTCTCTGCTCCGTTACTATAGGCAAATTAATTACCTTTGGTGTATAGTAGGTATACTGTTCGGCACACCCTAAGCCAAACTTTTTTTAGAACAAACATTTACATTTTTTAGTACTAGGTGTACCTAAAAAGTATTTTCATTAGTTTTACATTATTTTATAGTATAAAATTAACTATTTTAGAACGCTTTAGGAACTCTGTCATATGTTACGCAACTATATTTTATCGACATTGAACTCGAATTTTACAAACCTTTATGCACACTGCTTAGTGTATGCAAAGTTAATATAGATTCTTAATAACGGTATTGAAATTCTATTGTTTTCACGAGAAATTTGTAAAATTTAGGCGTCCGACGTGTAATCCACAAAAAACAATCAATACCTAAGCGTTTCGTCGGATCTAAAGCGATGAGGCTCACAAGCGTATACGTACGGCTTGATGAACGCATGAAAATATTTGTTTCTCGCTTAACATCTAAACTTTGAAGTCCGACCAATTTAGTGGTTGCCCACACGTCAGTTCTCAGCAGTTGTAGGTACCCGATGGCGTACGTATTACATACCCCTGTAATCCCTGGCATTTGGACCACTGTTCATAACGACGTGGTATACTTGGTACCGTGATATTTTCAGTCACTCGACCCGAGGGTTCTCACCATTATAGTTCGAAAAGGGTTCGAAATATGTTCAACGTGTTACCGACATTTCGCTACATATACGTGCTCATTAAATATGCGAAACATGACGCGGCACTGTTTATTGCTGCTGGGTGGTGTGTATAGTCCGAGTTTGGCTTCAGTCTCGAGAACATATTTTTTATCGTTGACTCAAAAATGTCGACGAAATAAGTCTCGCAAAGCTGAACTCATATACTTACGATGAGCATTGTTATATTATCACCGTCGACTCAACGAATCTCGTCGCTCGCTTTCCGAGGACCGTGCACCTGGCCGGGGTTCACACGCATTCATCAGTCACCAATTTTATTCACAGATATTCCTTGTAAGGATACACAGTCGTATTCAGTCGGATCCACGATTGGTATTAAAAATTGATCGAATTTTATCGTAATACGCAACGTCGTCACAATTTTATAACGCTCAAATTATGTAGGTAGGTACACATTAATCTGTATCCAAACGTCACGAGTACAACACTCGAATAAGTGATTCAGTGCTTCACGAATCGTCTAAACTGAGCATATTTTATCGGTATATTGACTGGATCGTTTATATAATTATTAGGCATATTAATTAATAATTCACATTATTATGCGGTAAATATTGATTACATTTTTTATTTTTTATGTACTACCTATAGGTGATACATAAAATATTAATATTTATGAGACGTCAACATTTATTCATTTTTTTTTTTTCAACTTCCATTAGAGGTGTATGTGTACTGAATGCGCCCAAAGGTCATCATTTTGTGTGTTTTATTACATATTTAAATATTTCATTTCTAGAGCAGCTGTATAATAATATTATAAGTAGGTATGTATAAAACATATATTCGAATATAAATTGTATTGTTATGTAAATGAGTTAGCTGAGTAAATTAAAATTATCAATGCCTGTCATATTCTAAAAATAAGATGTATAGCCAGTTAATTTGGTGGTATTTAAAAATCGGTAACAGCCATTCCTCAAGTTCACACAATAATATTAAAATATGTGATGTCTCGTGAGCCGCGCGATACCTCAATTTTTTTCTCGGCATTTTCATTTCGTTGATTAAATTTAACCATTGTAATAGCATGAGTGTCCGTCGTTTGGATATATGCTTAGACTGCCCACCTAAATGTGTTAAACACGACCAAAAGGATTTGGTGATCGCAATAATAAATAATATCTTTCTTCTCCTGTATTTATCAATCGAACGTCTTAGGTGTAAGCGATATTTGTTTACGTATATCCTTTAAAAACTAAAATCTAAAATATTGTATGGCTATAATATAGAAACATTGCATAACTAATATATTTGTATATGTTTCAAAGGGTCAACGGGATTATCTGAGAACTGCGAATGGATAAAAATATTGATAAAGCGGCCCTTAGGTACGTTAAGAATTATTACCGAATCGCCTATCTAAGTATATCATTTAATGTCCAATATAATTTATTATATAGATGACCAAGTACTAAAATTAAAATTAATGGTTTCGAATCATTTATAATATTATGTAGTTTATTATTACATTGCGCGTAATAGGTACATAATAATTGTGTATATAGTTGTGTAATAAATTGTGTAATATATAAACACTGATAATACACCAGGATAAAATATTGTAAATTATAAGAGGTAAATGGATATTGA